TTCCCAAGCTGGGATGGTGGGGGGTGAGGGCTTTTGCCACATCCCCTGACACCTGTACCCAGCCCAGCAATGACCAAGCCACCACTGGAAGCCTCCCGGTCCCTCCTGTGGGAATGAAGGGAGTGCCACAGTATTCAATCCTGCCCCTCCTCCTTCCTCCTTTTCCCATCCCATTTCCTTCCCCTTTCCCCTCTCCCCCTTCCTCCCAGGTGCTCTGCAACAACATCCTAGAATGTAAAAACTAATATTAATAAAATTACATTTTCTTAAAAAAAGTGGAAAGTAGGAGCTGCCACAGGAAGTGCTCTGGGCTCTGCTGACCCGAGGTGGTGGGGGTCCAAGGGCCTCAGCCACATCCCCCAACATGTGCAGCCAGCCCGTTGATGAATACCAAGCTGCAGCAAGAAGAGCCCCAAGTTCCCAAGCTGGGATGGTGGGGGGGGTGAGGGCTTTTGCCACATCCCCTGACACCTGTACCCAGCCCAGCAATGACCAAGCCACCACTGGAAGCCTCCCGGTCCCTCCTGTGGGAATGAAGGGAGTGCCACAGTATTCAATCCTGCCCCTCCTCCTTCCTCCTTTTCCCATCCCATTTCCTTCCCCTTTCCCCTCTCCCCCTTCCTCCCAGGTGCTCTGCAACAACATCCTAGAATGTAAAAACTAATATTAATAAAATTACATTTTCTTTAAAAAAGTGGAAAGTAGAATAGTGGTTACTAGCGGCTGGGAAGGGTGGAAGGAGTAAGGCGTAGGGAAAGGTTGGTCAACAGATACAAAATTACAGCTATATAGGAGGAATAAGTACTAGTGTCTATAGCTCTATAGGTTGACTGTAGCTAACAATTTATTGTACAATATCAAATAGGTGGCAGAGAAAAAATAACAAATAGCTAGAGGAGAGAATTTTGAATGTGTCCAGCAAAAAGAAATGAGAAATGTTTGAGGTGGTGGATATGCTAATTACCTTGATTTGATCATTGCATACTGTGTACATGTATTGAAATAACACATTGTACCCCATATATATGTAAAACTATTATGTGTCAATTAAAAAATATAAAGAAGAAAATTATAATTAGAACTTTTAATCATTAGAATTTCTGCATGTGGTAAAACACTTTAAAATTATATTCAATAAAAAGTCTCCTTGTCATTTGTTTCTTAATCCTGTATTCTTCCTCTTGGAGATCACAACTGCTGTTACCTTATTATTATTATTATTATTATTATTATTATTTTGGTGATCCTTTCAGAGAGAACCTATGCATAAGTGTAGTGTTCTAACAATATTAATAAAATATATGCATTTTCTTCATAAAAGGGGAAAAAAATAAATGCTAAGAGGTCAGTATCTTTTTTCATTCAGGTAACAAACTCATAGTAAATCTCTCTGCCATTAGCTCTCTAGCCTAGAATTAGAACTTAGAAATGTGGTAGTTGCTACAGGGATATATATTAAAACATTTATTTGAATTGAAAAATTAAGTCAGTCTTTTGTGGGAGAAAGTGAGTGTGATTTCACTGATTGAGGACTGACTTTGCCACTCAGTTAAATCTATGGCATCAAAGTTTTAAAAAATATATCTAAAGTATGCAATAAGATAAAAGCATTTTGTAAAAACTATATTATCAAACATCTATCAAAGTTAACAGTATTCAAACTTTTCAACACAGCATATTTGATTAAGTAAAGTGCCTAAGTAAAAGAGTAACATGTATAATTCATATGTTACTAATCATTTGGTAAATGCCGGAAAAGCATTTTTGGTAAACTTTCCAGAAATTAAGAAAATCACTTGTAATTTGTGATTAGTGTCCTAACTACTAGGAAACAAATCTTTCTGCATGTTATCAAGTTTCCTATTCTATGCATTTATAGAAATTTAAAGAGGGTTTAATCAAGTTGTCGATTAATATTTAAGTTTTTTTAAAAAATAATTTTTGGGGCCGGCCCAGTGGCGCACTGGAGAGTGCGCTGCTTGGGAGCATGGCGGCACTCCCGCCGAGGGTTCGGATCCCACGTGGAGACTGGTTCCCGCTCACTGGCTGACTGCTTGGGAGCATGGCGGCACTCCCGCTGAGGGTTCGGATCCCACGTGGAGACTGGTTCCCGCTCACTGGCTGAGCGCGGTGCGGGCGCAACTCCGAGGGTTGCGATCCTGTTGCCGGTCCCCGGTGCAGGCGCGACACCGAGGGTTGCGATCCCATTACCGGTCAGTAAAAAAGACAAAAAGGAAAAAAAAATTTTTTTTGATTATGGAGTATCATGTATTTTTGACAACTTATTAGAAGTTCAGAGAACCAAGTGATATACCTAAAACAAAACTCCTATTGTCTCCATGCACTTACATATCACTAAGAGATGCATTACCTGAACAATTTTGTTAATCACTTAAATTTCATTTATCAATAATCACAGTGTATTTATTTACATATTAATTATTATTGTATCATCTAAATAAGAAGTGGAATGAAAAATCAACCCACAAGAAAAAATTTTATTCCTAGAGTCTTGTGGTTACGGTAAATTAAAAAATTAAACATAAATTTATGCACATGTTTTTATCATGTAGCATTATGAAAAGGGCGTGAATAAAAGATTTTTAAGCATAAGATTATATATCCCTTTACACTAAAAGTCTGTGGGGTAAGAGGAATGGAAATATGAGTTCAAGGAAAGGAGAAATGCTTTAAAATTTCCAACTGATGAAG